ATTTGCTGAAAGGCAAAGCAAAAGGTTTGAACAAATAGTACGTAAGCGCACTATGCCAACATTGTGTTCCTTGCCTAGGTGTCAACTGAGGAATTTCAACAAAAACAACAGTATCAGTCACGATGCTATGACAGTGAAACTTTGACCCCAGAAATCCAATGAACTATTGCAACTGGGTTTAACGGACGGAGTCCAGCTATGATTTTAAAATGTTAAGTTTGTATTTAAATGTGTCAGTCTGATTAAGTTTGTTATTTATTATAAATATAATTATCGGCATGTAGCATGACTTATTTACAAAAAATAAAAGCTTGTTTAAAAAAAATAAGACAACAAAAATTTATCCAAACAGAATATACAATCAACAACACTAGTAATTCCATAAATATTCATAAATTCAATGTATATCCAAACAACATAATATAAAACAAAATTATTCAAAAAGCCTGTGTAACCAATAAAATGAGATGAAATGAATTGAGGAGAAAAAGAAAACTATTACAAAATAGTATAAAATAATAATAATAATAATATACTAAGCCAGCCTGAGAAGCTCTAAGACCGAGCTTTTGAATTGGAGCCTAAGGCCTTTTTATTTTGCCAACAATCAATTTTAGGCATGTAAGCTCAGACTTTCACGAGCCGAGCCAAAGGTCCCTAGTTAGTTTAGCACCCCTAATTGCAAGTAGTGTTTTAAAACTTCAGTTGGTTATCGACTCAGTTGAGGTATTGGGTTACTGAGTCAGTAATTCAATCGAATTTAACTGGATTCAACTTGATTTTAAAATAATATAAAATAAATATTAAATTATGAACATTATAAGTAATAAATAAAAGTGGTCTGGCCTTTCTATCCTCAAACAAGAGGACTCGCAAAATGTATATATTTTATATAATTTAACATAAAATCGAATCAACACTGGTTGAACTCGGTTTTGGTCCGGTAAAAATTCAGGTCAACCGATTCGAATGAATAACCAATCTGATTCCTATCTCGAACCTGTGAGGACATCGGGTTACCGAAACTTAGGTCGATCCAGGTTTTAAAACATTGATTGCAATTTGCAAGGGATTATTGGGAGGACAAATTCTAGAAAAACACTCACTTTATATTTATTTATTTATATTATTATTATTCTAGACCTACTGAGCTCCATTTAAGGGTCACTTCTCTATATCCCTGAACTAAGACTTTAAATCAATGTTATTAAAATCGGCCCAGTCAATGACCCGGTCGAGGTACTGGGTCACTGGTTCAACCAGTGGATCACTAGTTAAACCGCGTGAGCCGGTGATTATATATAAATCTATAATTTATATTAAAAATTTATAAATATATTCAAATAGCTGAAAAAAATAATATAAATTCTAAATATTTTAATATAAAAAATAATAAATTATACATTATTGTCTAATAAAGGATCAAACAAATACATAATGCTTGTTATATTGGTGTTTCAGGCTCGGTAAACGACATCTCTAACTATCAAATCAAAATTCTCTGCATAGTGCATAATTGAGATAATATTAAGATTGTAGATACATAACTTATGTAAGTCAATAAATAACAGATTACTCAAATATGTCAATTATGATTTTTTTTTGAAAAACTTTTTTTTTGAAAATATTTTTTTTTAAAACCCGGGCTGTGTCACCCGTTAATCGGCCGGGTCACCGGTTTTTTCACCAAAACCGATCGGGTCGCACCGGGTCATACCGAACCTGAAACTTAACTGATCCAATATAATAACCGGACTGGTCAAATAATCAGTTCATCGAGTTCCGATCGACCCGGCCGGTCCGGTGCGATTTAAATCATCATATAGAGGATTTTATTTCCTTGCAACAGGGCACCTCACATATAGGGAAATATTTAATATGCTATAGGACTACTCAATGATTTGGTGCTCCCTCTCACAACACTACTTTTTTCTTTTCTTTTTTACCCTTGCTATTTTTCTTCTTTTCCAATTTTACCGTTCCATTTACACTGAAAGACCACTTAAAAAATGGTGGTCCCGGGCCAGAATAAATTCTCTCCATATAGACATAGAGCGGGTGTGCTTGCCTTGCGCACATAATGGGGTCCATTGGACAAAATGCTTATGGCTCTCTCCTACTCATGATTAGGAAATCTTCCACCTATAAATACCCCCTTCAACTATTAAAGAAACACATTGAATACATTGATTTATGAGCTGTTAATGTCCTTAACACCATTCTCCTTCTCTCAACTCCCACCTAAGACACTTAGGGTGACTTTTACCACATAATTTTGGTTTATACCATGTTTCTTTGAATACTATTATATTGAGATACTTCACTCTATCAAGCAGAACAAATCTAATATCACCATCCAACATTTCACCTATAAATTTGTTCTATGAATATAAAATAAATCTGAACTGTTGAGTTCACAAAGTAAATATAAATGACGTTTATATGAAAATTAATTCAATGAACAATGTTATGACTTATGAACACATTACTTGGCAATTTTAAATAAACACGTAGTCTGTCCCCCCACTGTGTGACTAATTCCCCACTTCAGTTTGTCATAATAATTAAACAAAGTGGTGTCCATCTCATTGAAGCACCAACATTAAAGAGAGAAAGAGGTATGCATGGCGATGTTATCTTCTATCTTTTCATTGGGTAGTTTGGAAAAGTATCGATTTTTTGAATGTACCCATGTACTCATCACATTTTCCCTGTTTATTTATCCTCCCACTTGGTCTTTAGCTTAACATATTTTTACTCCTCAGTGTAATGATGCACATTGAGCATATAGTACACTTCCAATGTGGTTGTGACTAGTCAACTCTCAAACTTTGGTATAGGACAGTGATGATGGAGTCAGCTGGTGTTAAGGCATTAGTAAATTTCAAAAAATTTCTTTAAAAAATATGATACAATTTAATATTGGTTGAATTTTTAAACAATACAGTCTTGACACTTGCTAAATTCTACTTGATTGAGTCTTTTGGTACTGACTGATTTTTTTTTCTAGCTCGGCCACTCATATACTTATTAGGAAAATGATCCGTTTATAATTTTTTTTATAAATTATACTAAGTATGACTAATCATACATTTTTTTGTTGAAGTATGACCGGTCATACTTAGTGTAATTTATAAATAAAAAAGTTTGTAAATATAACTTTCCTCTACTTATTATAAGAAAAAATTAAAGGTTGGATTTGAAAGGCAATTTACTGAAGTTATAAAAATGGCTAATCATAAAGAAGATAACGGACATTATGATAGCACAAAAAGGCAGCCACACCATATCGGAATCTTTTTTATTTTTATTTTTTCAGCTTGATGCTGATGGAGTAGGACATTCATTTTTATACCGAAAATGCTTATTATATATTTACTTTTTGATTCCTCGTATATGCATAGGTCACAAAAAGGTTCAACAATAATAAAATGATAAAAACTGCAAGGGTGTGACATGATGTGTCATTTGTGCACATAGCATTATTCATTTATATACCTCATTACTAGCTAATAGATCGTTCTTATATATATGCACAAAGAAGGAGTAACCTTCCAAAATCCCAATTGGCTACCATTAATTCAAGCTTCTAGTAATTGAAGCACATAGAAACACTGTAACGCCCGGCGGATTTAAGAATTAATGATTTTCTCTATACACTAACATGAGATTTTTCAGCGTATTTTATCCTCACTCGCACACTTCTTGGAAAAACTTCCCAGGAAGTCATCCATAACAAAATTGCTCCAAGTTAAGCATGCTTAACTATGGAGTTCTTCTATTTTGGGCTATCGAAAAGTAGATGCATCTTGTTAGTATAGATAGTACTAATTAATTCTTATAAGCTATCCCCAACTGTACAGTCTCATACCTGCACAGTCTTTGAAATCACTTTATTTCGGTGTCGATTCGATTCATTCATGTATCCCGTTAGAAGTCAAGAGTCGCTCCTTATCTGTGTCCTTTCGCACTCATTCAGTAATTTCATTAAGTAAAAAGTATAAAATCTAGAAATAGAATTAAAATAGAATTAGATTACCTGTCCGATCTATACCTTTTCAACTTTCGTTAGCGCTTGGGATGTTATTGTTGGGAAATTCGTTCCCTCAAACTCCAATGTCAAGCAGGTCCAGGGGAAGCCCGTGGCGGGGAACCACCACCAATGAGCTAAGGCTACACCAACCGTAGCAAGTGGATCCGACACCATGTCTCAACCCAAAACCTTAAGGCATTGGGTTCATGGGTCCTTTCACTTATACACTCTTCACTTAGCTCATTACCAACCAATGTGGGACTCATCACACTTGAATATCTCAACAATCTCCCCCTCAAGTGTGAAACCCACCATTGGTATGCTCCCCCTCAACCGAGTACCCGAAGCGCAAAGTACTCGACCCGCCTCCTAGCCAATCACTAGGCTAGCTCGAGCCCAATCCGGCTCTGATACCACTGTTGGGAAATTCGTTCCCTCAAACTCCAATGTCAAGCGGGTCCAGGGGAAGCCCGTGGCGGGGAACCACCACCAATGAGCTGAGGCTACACCAACCGTAGCAAGTGGATCCGACACCATGTCTCAACCCAAAACCTTAAGGCATTGGGTTCATGGGTCCTTTCACTTATACACTCTTCACTTAGCTCATTACCAACCAATGTGGGACTCATCACACTTGAATATCTCAACAATTAAGAGACAAATTAATATAACTCACAATGTTTGAAGAGGGAATACAATTTCATAAACTGACTCAAACTTAATATAAACTAGAAACTAAAACTGAAAAACATAACATTAAGAGACACATTACACCCAAATAAACTCTAACTTAATGACTCATTATACTACCCAAAACTGACCCATTATGATACCGTTAAGACTCATCAAACAACTTTAGTGCAGCACATGGCCGTTACATCAAACTTAAAAGACCATTGAATTTTCTAACGGACAAAAACAAAGAGACTCTAACATTCCCTCCCTTAAACTGATGTTCTTGAAAAATTCAGTTTACTCCAAATCCTTTGACTTTCTCCATGGAACATATGCCAAGTAATCCCCTGAGCTTTTGAAACGCAACATATTTGAGAGGCTTCGTAAACAAATCAGCAACTTGATCCTCACTTCTACAAAAAATAAGATCAATTATACCAGCCTTTGTAAGATCCCTTAAGAAATGATACTTCACATCTATATGTTTGCTTCTCCCATGTAAAATTGGATTCTTTGACAATTTAATTGCAGAATTATTGTCACAATAAATTAAAGTTGCTCCTTCTTGCTTGAAGTGAAGTTCTTCAAGAATTCTCCTTAGCCAAATGGCTTGGCATGCACAAGCTGTAGCAGCAACAAATTCAGCTTCTGTGCTTGACAAAGTGACAATTGGTTGCTTTTTCGATGCCCAAGAAATAGCACCTGTACCAATCATAAAAACATAACCTGATGTGCTCTTCCTGTCATCTTGATCTCCTGCATAATCACTGTCAGTAAATCCCACTAAATCAGATTTTACACCCTTCTTGTAAAATATCCCGAAAGTTCTTGTTCCTTGCAAGTAGCGAAGGATTCTCTTGGCAGCCAACAAATGTATTTCTGTAGGATTTTCCATATACCTGCTAATTAAACTCACAGAATACATTATGTCTGGTCTTGTTGCAGTGAGATACATCAAACTTCCCACAATTTGTTTGTAGAAGGTGCTGTCAACCTTCTTTCCTCCATGATCTTTATGTAACTTCAAGCCACATTCAACTGGTGTGTGCACAGGATTACAATCCTTCATCTGAAACCTGTCTAGAATATCTTCCACATATTTATTTTGAGAAATAAAAATTCCATCACTTGATTGTGCTACACTTATGCCAAGAAAGTAATGCATCATACCAAGATCAGTCATTTCAAACTCATTCATCATAGACTTCTTAAATTCTTCAAACATAACATCACAATTTCCAGTGAATATAAGATCATCTACATATAAGCAAACAATAAGCATTTTTCCTTCATCACCATTCTTAACAGTGGTATCAGAGCCAAAGGTTTGGCTGGGCCGGGTATTTAGAGATGGTGATATTTCAAGGCCTCCGCAGAAGGCTAGTGTGACTCCAATACTTAAAGAAAAAAGACTTCCGCAGAAGTTGCCCTTAAGGGGGAGCATAATGTTGGGTCTCATACTTGAGGGGAAGATGTTGGAAGTATTCAAGTATGAGTTATAAAGAAGTATCACATCGACTAGACATAGACCAAGTGATGACTATATAAGTGCAAAAAGACCCATAAACCTACAGCCTTAAGGTTTTGGGTTAAAATGTGGTGTCGGCCCACTTATTGTGGTTTATCGCTTGGCCCATGGATGTATCCCTTGCAATGGGTTTTGGGCTCCCCCATACCATTCCCAACAGTTATATGCCCACCAACTTTAGCCTGTTTCGTCCTCAAATCATACCGTTTTGGAAGAGAGGCACGGTACCGCTTTCTTTACATTAAACACATGGAACTCACTTAATTTGTATAGTTCTGCGTATACTTTACATGTAGCTAGTGTACTATATAATTTTTTTTTTCATGTGGAATATTCCAGTCACTTGAATTATATAGCATCGTTATGTGAACACTATCATGTTTCATGGTTTATCATATTAATATGCTATATTCTCCATTGGATTACGTGGATCAGGAAGTGGCATTGGACGTGTCAAGCATGCATAAGTCTCGTGTCAAGCAAGAGTAAACTACGAGATAAGAGAGTGTTTCACAGAATCCACCTGATGCTATACACACACGATTTGTTTGATCCCTTGTGGGACCTCGGTAACGCAATTATAACATCAATTTAAAACTGAAAGTGCGCTTTAACTATTGCACTTATCTTGTGACAAATAATATAATATATATAGTTATGAAACAAAGCAAATAACGTTGTATAGCTATATATGTATAATACAATCTCCAAAGCTATTTATAGCTAAGCCTTGAGGGTTCAAACAGGGAAGAAAAGTGGTGCTGTTGTTTGGTGTTTGGTTTTTGATAGTGGTGGGGATGAATCCACAGTGATTTGTGATTGAAAAGGCCAAAAAAAAGAACATGAGAAAGCAGAACTCACTCTGGTTTATATTCTTGTTTTCCTCTTTCCTGTGGCTCATTTAGTAAACTTCAGAGTGAAGGATTGGTTTGGTTGCTTCATTTTTAGGTGCATTTGGTGTCTCTTTCTTTTGAGTTATGGCCGGTGGACAGAGACTCCAGAAGCTCAACAAGTCATGCATTCTCCTCATAGGTATAAACATGTTTATATATCTCTGCTTTCCCATTTTCAACCATGTTGCACATGAATTTGCTCAAGATTTTAAGCACACGGTTGTTGTAAAAGGGGAGTATCTTAATGTCACTTATGATTTTGTCTCCTATGTGCATCTTAATGACCATCTTTTGAGAACAATTGAAAAGAAAAGAAAAGAATTTTAGTTTTACTTGTTTTGGTGTACTTTGACAGCCATTGCAGGTATAGAGAGGTTTGCATTTAAGGGGGTAGCATCCAATTTGGTAACTTACTTAACTGATGTTGTGAACTTAAGCAATTCATCTGCAGCAAAGATGGTTAACAGTTGGGTTGGATTCACCTCCATAATGCCATTGCTGGTGGCACCTATTGCTGATGCTTATTGGCACAAATATTCCACCATCATGGTGACATCTTTCCTCTATGTTATGGTGAGTCATCCTCCACAAATTTACTTTCCCTCTTTTACATATATATATATATATAAATATATATTTAGAAAATTATATCCCTTACTTTTTACTTGGAGTTTTGTTTACAAATTAAAAATTAGTTATATATTGGAACTTTCCCATACTTCTTTCGGTTCTCTTTCCTCTTAACTTTATTGTCCACTTTGGAATTTAGATAGGACTCATACATGTGGCTTGTAATTTAGCATCCTTACTTTGTGTGTAACATTATTAGGATATCCATTAAGTTTGTTGGAGTCTGAGTCATAAGCACTCTTCTTATTTGAGGATACTGGGGATTGATGTTCTGGAAGATTTAGGATGCACCTCTTAATTAATGAGCATTTCACCTTGTGTGTCAACCATAATGCCACGTGTTTAGCCACCTTTCCAAGTCAGATTCTACACTCTGAGAGCTTTTTCGGTATCACGATAGTACCTACATTTTTTCCAAATTAGTAAACAATCAGGACTTAAAAAGGAAAATATACAAAAATGAATGAATTCAAATAATATGAAAATTTTCTTATTTGGAAAAAAGGAGTATCGAATTCGGTACTAGTATTAAAAGAAGTTCCCTGCACTCCACCAGAATATCCATCCAAATGTTGATTAAAAAAGAAAATTGATAGAAAGGTGGTAGATAATAATATCCATGTCACCATCCCAAAAGCTTCTCAAAAATTGATACACATAAAGAATCTTGTTGTATTCTTCCACAAGTTGGAAATAAATAATTTTCATGCTACCTTCGCAGTAGTGATTCAAAAATTGGTATACATGCAAAAACTTGAGTGCTTAATTAGAAGGTTATCATTGTCTATGTCATCTTAAATTTGTTCTTATCTTTGAAATCGCAACCTCTTTGGCAGAGACCTATTTCTGAATAGAACTGTTATGCCAAAAAAAAATTAAAAATGGACTGATGGTATGCAGCTTCATTGAAGTAATTCAAGTAAAGTTGTCACCAAATCTATACAATACAATTAATAGAAGGCAATGATGCATTTGTATTTATAAAAACTGTTTATTTCTGATTATAGGGAAGCTACCTTGCTGATAAAAATAGTTGTTGCATGATAATGTTCTTCATGTGAAATTATTTTGTGCCTTAACCATTATGTGTGTAAGTTTCTTGCACGGAAATTCATATTCTTTTGTAAGAAGTTGAACAAAAGGATAATATGAAAACCGTCCATGTCTTACTTTACTTTTGAGAAAAAGTATATCTCTTCTCCTTTTCAAATTAATAAATTAAGCACTAAAGCACCCCATGCTAGAAGGAGATCAATATTGATAAAATGTTATTTACCAAGTATAAAGATATGGCACCATGATTGTGATGTCTATATGATCTGAAAAATTCATGTCTATAAGGTAATTTATTCACCAACAAAAAAGAAAAGAATAGGTAAAACCAAATTAGACTGATTTTTGAGCTGTTGATTTCTTCTTATGCATATGATTATCAGTTAACTCTATGCTGTTGGTAACACTTTGTGAGTGCTTCTGTTAGTCAATTTGAATTTTCCTTGTTTTCTTCACAAGTTAACAATATTTTCATTTGTGTTCTCTTCTTAGGGACTAGCAGCATTGACAACAACAGCACTGGCAAGGTCATGGCATCACAGAAACAGAACAATGTCTTCTTCATTTCTCTCTTTGTCTCTCTATTTAATTTCATTAGGCCAAGGTGGATATAACCCATCTCTGCAAGCCTTTGGAGCAGATCAACTTGTTGATGAGGAAGAATTGCCTTGTAGCAAAGATGAAAAAAGTTCCAACAAAAAAACTATATTCTTCCAGTGGTGGTATTTTGGCATTTGTAGTGGAAGTCTATTGGGTGTTACAGTCATGTCCTACATCCAAGATACCTTTGGTTGGGTGTTAGGTTTTGCAATCCCAGCAATTTCAATGGCTCTATCTATTTCAATTTTCTCTTGTGGAAGCCCTATATATTTATACAAACATCATGATGACTGTCAAGATAAGAAGCCCTTCATGGACATATTTCAATCTATAAAAGCATCTGCATTGAAATGCTTCCATTGTAGTATTACCCTACCAAATGTCAAGTCTGAAGTTGTGGAGATGGAGTAAGTTCCACTTTCACATAAAGAAAGTTAAGTTTACTATAGCTTATGCAAAGTACTTACATTAGAATATTTGTTTTTCTTGTGATATACAGGCTTCAAGAGAGACCCCTTTGTCCTGAAAACTTGGAAAGCCTTAAGGATTTGGATAAGAATCCTAAAAGTAGCATGTATCTGCTTGCAACAAATGCCAAGGTTGTGATGCGGCTCTTTCCCATATGGACAATGCTTCTCATGTTTGCAGTGATTTTTCAGCAGCCTGCAACTTTTTTCACAAAACAAGGCATGACAATGAAGAGGAACATTGGAGAAAATTTCAAGATCCCACCAGCCACACTCCAAAGTGCTATAACATTGTCCATAATACTATTGATGCCATTATATGACAAAATTTTTATACCAATTACTAAGGTGATTACACGTCAGGACAAAGGTATAAATGTAATGCAAAGGATGGGAATTGGAATGGTTCTCTCAATCATAGCAATGGTTATTGCAGCTCTAGTTGAAATGAGAAGGCTTGAGATTGGTAGGCAAATGAGAACTTCAGGATCACAGTCAGAAACAGTGCCTCTAAGCATTTTCTGGTTGCTACCACAGTACATTCTTCTTGGCATTTCAGACATTTTCACAGTTGTTGGTATGCAAGAGTTCTTCTATGGTGAAGTTCCCACAAAAATGAGAACAATGGGAATTGCCTTGTATACAAGTGTTTTTGGGGTTGGAAGTTTTTTGAGTGCACTTTTGATTACACTAGTTGAAGTGTACACAAATTCAAAAGGAATACCAAGTTGGTTCTCTGATGATATGGCTGAAGCACACTTGGACCATTACTATTGGCTTCTAGCCTGGTTAAGTGTAGTGTGCTTGATATTGTATGCACTTTTATGTAAATATTATCACTGTAGCAGTGATTCAGATAGTGAAAAATGAGCTTTTTGTTTTTTTTTTTTACCTTCACTTTCCTCTCTGTTATTTTGTCTTGACTTCTGCCTTTCCTTTAGGCTGAAGATTGTTGAACTACTTGACCTGATCTTGAATAATAGTATTTATATGATGTATATATTTTTATTTTTCCTAAGAGTGAAAAACTTAATATATAAAAGTAAAAAAACTGACAAGATATTTTTGACAAAATGATATAAAATAATGGATGTTTTAATATATAATAATGGGAAAAGTGTGTGTCATTTTAAAGGATGTAAAGTTGTGTAATTTTAAGTTAGAGAAAGAAATAGATCACGAGGGAGAGAGAGTGGACAAAAAAAAATAAAGGTGTGGGTAGGGGTGTAAATAGGCTAGGCTAGACTTTGGCTTAAATAGGCCAAGCCTATGTAAAAAATATTAGGTATGGCATGACCTATTAGCTTGTGTAGACCCCAAATTACAAGTTTAGCCAGACCTGTATTTAAAAAATAAAAGCCTAGCCTAATAAACATTCAACAATTAAATAGGCGTAGGCCTGCTAACCTGTTTAAGCCTATTAAACATTCAACAATTAAAAAAATAACTAAAATAATATTATTTTATTATTCAAAATTATTAAAATAATAATTTTATTTATTATATTTTAAATAAATAATATGATATAGGCAGATATGTAGACTTATAGACCCGACATGTACAAAAAAGTTTATGGCCTATTTTCTAAATATGTTTTTTAAAAGCCTAGGCCGATTCTATTTTACTATTTATAATAGGCCAAGCCTGACTTAATATAGGCAAACCGTAGGGCCCTGTAGGCCGGCCTAGCCCATTTACACCCCTAGGTGTGGGTCCCACCTCTTTGTGAGAGTGAAATGACATAAGTTGTGCAATTTTTTTTGCAGCAACCGATTATACTTATGTATTCTCGGAAGTACATAGTTATAATTGTAAAATTGTTTTTTTTCCCTCTCTTCAGAAGTTATCTACTGACATAGAAAGAAAGAAAAAATAATTTTACGATTATAACTATATATTCCCGAGAATACATAGTTATAATCGGTTGCTGCATTTTTTATTTTTATTTTTTGATGTTGTAGCAATATAAAAAGTATATTTCCCTAATACTAATAATAAATTCCAAGAAATATTAACTGAGTAGTTTGTAGAAAGTTATGAGTTAAACTTAAGTACCACATACCAAATAAATAAATGTAACAAACGTAACATACTGGGAACATAAATAGTTAAATAGCAACAAACGTAACATACTGGGAACATAAATAGTTAAATAGCAACAAATGTATCATACTGTGTACATAAATAGCAACAAACGTAACATACTTTATACGTTTTATGAATTTGAAAAGCGAAACAGAAAATGAAAAGAAACAAACAAACAAGCGATCTATGAATAAGCATATTTTGTTGGTGTTGGACTCAACATGGATTTTAAGAGGGTAAGTTTCTTAGTTGGGTGTTTTGTTTTTGGTTTGGTGGGATTATTCACCGAAGTGAAGGGGGGAAATGTTTTGCATAAATCTAAATGCAACTACACAGCAATTTACAACTTTGGGGACTCAAATTCAGACACAGGAACCACGTCTGCAGCATTTACGGAAATTTATCCTCCAAATGGTGAAAACTTTCCTGGGAATTTCCCTAAAAGGAATTGTGATGGCCGTCTTATCATAGATTTCATTGGTAAGAGGAAACCAAGCTATACCCCATATCCTATTTTTCACAATTTTTTTGGTTGATCTAATTATATTATAAGACCAACCACATATATGCATGATTCAACAACATAAGTTGTTGGATATAACTTATACTTTGTGTCGCATTGGGCTCGCGTGTTGTGGGTCTCTGACTTGTTTTATTTTTTTCTTTCTTTTAAGTTTGCATTTGAGCTCATGAATAATTGTTGTTGCTTTGAGAAAATTTTTGGTTTAGCCTCACGAGTAATTGCTGATCCTCGTGAACAACTGCTATTGCTTAATGTTTCTAAGTTTATTTATATTTCCTTCCTAAACTAAGTGCTTTAACGACTGCTGTGAGGAAAATATAATACATGTTGCTAGACGTGGCCACACTAGTGATATGTGGGCTCTTTGAACCATTTGGGATTTTTATCCCTTTAATTTTTTAATTTGTTATTTGATTCACAGTATTTACCAATAGAGACATTGAGTGACGCGAGGGGACCCAGCGTCACTGAGTGCCGCGATCCTCCCCGGTGTCACTCACACACTCTTTTATTATTTTTTTATTTTTTTCAATTGAGTGACGCTTCCTCCCCTGGGGCACTCATAGGATTGTGCCAAGTGGCACTCATAGGATTGTGCCAAGTGGCACAATCTCGTTAATCTTGTTACCGTAAGATTTCGGAAGATCATAGCTTTTGACATCGGGTATCCAAATCAGATGTTTTTTTTTTATTTCACATAATTTTTCGAGATCTACTCAATTACACTTCATTATTGGAAAAAAGAAAAAGAAAAAAATGTGTGAGTGATACAGGGAGGGTCGCGACACTCAGTGACGCTGGGTCCTCCTCGCGTCACTAAATAACCCCCATTGGTAAATACCGTAAATCAAATACCAGTTTGGTAAATTAAAACCTCAAAAAACCCCATTGGGTCAAAGAGCCGTAATATGTGTCTCCATTTTTCTTCTCTTTCTCTTTTTTTATTTTTTATTTTTTTATTTGTGATTGTGTGTGTGTTTGGGTCCCAACATAATGACCTAGCTTTGTTTCTCCATTGAAGTCTCTCATTCATGTGTATTTCAATATGTGCCTATTTAGCTGAAGAATTGGAGTTGCCATACTTGAGTGCCTATTTGGATTCAATTGGGTCAAGTTATAACCATGGAGCAAACTTTGCAATGGGAGGTTCATCCATACGTCAGGGTGGCTTTAATGAAGTCTTCCTTTCACTTCAAATATCTCAATTCAGACAATTCAAGTTCAGGACTATGGCTCTCTATAATCAAAGCTCTAACAACTGTTAGTTATTGTTCCTCTGTTTATGTTCTTTAATGTTATGCCGCATGTTTATATCCTCTAAAATGTTCCTCTTGACATATTCTAATTTCTCATGCATTTGATGCCTTAAACCCGTTAAACCCGACTAGCTAGTGTGAGATGGAGGAAATCCTTGTACGCAACCTTACCTTACATAATTGCAAAGAGACTGTTTCCTGGATTCGAACCCATTACTTTTGATGCCTTATTTAGTTATAAGCCTTATAAGATAATATGATGTATGAAATACATATATATCATCATGTTTATATTAAAAAAAAATGTATCATAACATTTGATATCATCTCATTTCATAAAGAATGATAATGTCTATGGTATATGTACATATATTTTGTTGCAGCAGCAGATGCATGTTTCAAAAGCAGGTTACCGAAGTCCATGGACTTCTCCAAGGCACTTTACACCTTAGACATTGGTCAGAACGATCTAAGTTTTGGTTTCATGAACTCAGATCAACACCCAGTCAGAGCATCAATTCCTGATATATTGACTAAATTCTCCCAAGGAGTGCAAGTAAACATCCAAGCTTTTTCGGTTTCTTCACATTTTAATTTTATTATTGGGAGTGTGATTAATTAAGAATAATGAAATTAAAATTCAAAATATTGAAAATAGGGAAGTGAAAATGAAGATTCTAAATCTAAACATAAGTCTTAATTTTAATTACCTTATCAGTTTTGGTTTCACAACTACAATTCCTTTCATTTTTTTCTCATACAATTGTGTTTGGTTTTGCTTCAGAAACTATACAATGAAGGTGCTAGACTCTTTTGGATACATAATACAGGCCCAATTGGATGTTTTCCACGAACAAACCAGCAACACAAGCCGAATCCTCAAGAATTGGATTCTGCTGGTTGTAGAAAATCGGAGAATGAGATTACTCAGGAGTTTAACAAGCAGCTTAAGGACCTTGTGTTTCAGCTAAGGAAAGAGTTACCTACAGCAAAGTTTACCTATGTTGATGTCTACTCAGCCAAATATGAATTAATAAAAAATGCAAGGAATCAAGGTGACTTTAGCTTTCAATTATTTCACCACCATATGCATGATACATATGCTATATGCTCTTCATATAAGTGCCTCACATTTCTAAACTGAGACAAATATTACCTTAATTTTTCTCTCCATGCACACACATCTCGTACACATGGTGAGAATGCTTGCCTCACATTGAGTAGGGCCTATAAGGACAAAACTTTTATAACTCTCTTTCATAGAATATTGGGAAAAATTCACCAATACTCATGTGGTTTACTTTAGAATCACTTATGCTCATATGTGATAAGAAAAAAACCACAGGAACATACATGATTTTGAAGCAAACCATATGGACATTGGTGGACTTTTTCCTAGAATATTTTCCACTTATATATATCCCTCATTGCCATTATTGAGGAGTTACTTTCTCCACAATTACTTCTTGTTATTCTGGGAAATATAACCTTAAAAACCATTAATTATGCCCCACACATTCCCCTTTGTTCTTAGCCTTCACTTGAGATGCACTGCAATCAATGTTACCGGTTTAATATTTTTTCGCAGCATGTGAGATTTGAACCCAGCACATTGGAATGAAAAGCGCCACTTCAAACCACTAGACTACTATCATCAGTTGAATAAAATAGACCATTTAATATATTTATTATATAATTATTAAGTTAAGAGAATTAATTCAAAAATTGCATCCAATGAGATTCGAACTCCTTCCGTTGAGGATATACAACATAGCAAATACCACTAAACTACATCAGGTTATTGTTTAGATGACACCATTCAAAATATTTATTTTATAATTATGTATAAAATATAATTTATATATATATCCAGTTCATGCGGTTCAACCAATAACCCATCGATTGAACCATTGACTCAGAGACCCGGTACCTCGGCCGGGTCAATGACCGGTCCGATTCTAATAACATTGGTTGCAATAACTCTCATGTTAAGTTTAGGTTTATACCTCTGCCTCATGCTTTCACTAAATCTTTACTACATCAACATATTACGCCTATAAAGGGAAACAAACTCATTTCCACCAAACTAACAAACAGTTTACTACATATAAATTATGATAAAGATCAATGTTTTTAGGCCATAAACTTATGCAATAAATGGTGTAAAGTAAAATCAACTAGCACATATAATTACCCTAACTTGAATTATATGCTTTGTACTGTGACAGGTTTTGTTAATCCAAAGAAATTCTGCTGTGGCACAACCAAAAGTATACGTGTTGATTGTGGAAAAAAGAAAATTAAGAATGGAAAAGAAGAATACAATAAATGTAAAACTCCATGGAAGTACATTAGCTGGGACGGGGTTCACTACTCTGAAGCAGCAAACCGGTGGCTTGCTACGCGCATTCTAAATGGCTCATTCTCTGATCCACCAGTTCCTATAAGCATGGCTTGTAATTAAGGTTAAACGAAATCTTTCACCCTAGTTACATAAAAAGGAGACATTGGAATTAGTGGCGAATCCAAATTTTTTTATTTATACGTGCATAATTAGTGAAAGAGATTCCGAGGCGGTACCTCTGAATTTTTTTAGAGAAAGTTTAAAACGTATTAAAAAAATAAAAGAATATAAACAGAAAAGAAAAGAAAACTTCAACCTAACATAAAAAAATAATAATTAATAATCAACTAAGCTATTAAATTATTTGAGTATAAAGTTAAAATTGAGAGTGCATACCATTGTTATCGCCATCGGAGCTATTTTTAGAGTAAAATATTTTTTGGGTACTCAACAAATATTACGGGATCCAATTTAATCCCTTGGAAAAAAAGTCAACTCATTATCCCTTTAAAAGTCAAAATAGACCCATATTAGTCCTTTTGAGGGACTAACGTAAATATTCTTTGAATTTCAGAGGGTCTATGATTACAACTAACTGTGCCTATTTTGGAATTCAGAAAGACCACAAAGACTTTTTTTAAGGGATTAAATTGAGTCCCATGATTTTTGTCGAGGACTCAAAATTACTTTACATTTTCCCCCTAAAAATTTGTGTGCTCATTTGCACACAGTTGGACAAGTGCAGGTCCACCCCTGATTGGAGTTCCAAACAAGGCTTGTAATTTGCAATTTCAAAATACAATTTCAAAAGATTTGTTGTGGTGAAAAGAAATATCAATTAATAGTTAAATAAAAAACAAATATCATGCGGATACCACCAAAGTACAATATCAACAGCTTAATAAGTGGTCTATGTGTTCTTAATAATCTCAAATTGAACTAATTGAATAATATATATGGGTTCGCTTTTTCTGCAGTTACTGCAGATAAGTTATCTACAGTAAGTTCAATACGACGTCGTTTTGAGGCGGAAGTCATGGTATTTTTGTAATTTTAATTTATTTCAGGGTTATAATAGTCTTTATATTTATAATTTTTTAAGATTTCAATACCAAAACAACGTCGTTTTGGGAATAAATGTAGATAATTTATCTGCATTAATTGCAGAAACAATTTTCCATATATATATATATATAAATTTTTTTGACACAAGCGCTTTGACTTTGTCTCCCGAGATTCACCATAGGTTGGGTTTGAGAGCTGTGCAATGGGTGACTATTCTCACAGCAGAGTCACCATTGACTCTATTTATTGTTGTGGTAAATTAAAATTTGACATTAAATTTTAACGGTTAATTTTCGTCAATCTAATGATTATAATTTATTATGAATTACTAATTAATTAATAAATATGACCCGATAATTATAATCGTCAGATTGAAAAAAATCAACGGTTAGGATTTGATATCAAATTTTTTTAGTTTGACACCGTTGTCAAAAAAATCTTATCCATATATATATATATATATATATATATATATATAGACTTATCGTTTCTCAAGCTGCTTGAGATAATCTTATCTTCATCTACTAAATCATAACCGTACAAAGATAGATAATGGTGATAAAGAAAGAGAGAAAAAGGGAATCATAACCATTCAAAGGTGAATCAATTAATATAAGGAAATAAAAAAATAAAACAACGTAGTTTTGGAATAGCCGGAGAAAAACTTATTTCAAGCTGTTTGAGGAATATTTTTCCCTATATATAAATAAATAAATATATATATATATATATATATATATATATATATATATTTATTTATATATAGGTATTTACTAATCTACATCAATAGGAGATAACATATCTCCTATCACTCTCACACTTATATAGTAGGACCCACATAATTATAAAATAAAAAAACAAAAACAAAAAACAAAAAAATTCATGTCTCTGTACGAAAACACACTACTCTCCTATGGCTGGAGAATAGTTTTTCCCACACACACACACACATATATATATATATATATATATAATCATTTCTCAAGTTGATGGACATCCAGCTAGAATCATAAACCATACATGGGTCATGGGTGGGTAAAAGCATTAAATACGGGAAATAAATGAGAATCAACGATCAAGATTACTAGTTGGACGTCCAGAAACTTGAGAAATGATTTTACCATATATAGTGTGTGTGTGCGAAAAATCTGGTGTCAAGTCACTAGATATAAGATTTTGTCCAATCACTGCATAATAATTATGTACTCCGTTGAATACATAGTTATAATGTTAAAATTATATTATTTTCTCTCTCTTCATAAACTTGTCTGCTGAAAAAAAAGTACAACTTTAATATTATAACTATGAATTTTTTTTTTTTGTAATAATAACTATGAATTTTTCGGAATACATAGTTATAATGCGATGACTGGACAAAACATTTTATCCAGTGACTGGACACCTGATGGACCTATTTATATATATATATATATATATATATATATATATATAAAATTATTTTTGCAGCCGCTTTACGTACAACAACGACATGTGTATGGTTATGATTTCCTACATTTAATGCTTTCATCATTTGTATGGTTATGATTCCTCGCATTTAATGCTTTCAAGCATATATATGGCAGGTATTTGATTGTTGCACGTACAACAGTTGCAGAAATGTAAACCCCATATATATATATATATGTCAGAGAAATATTTCTCCGGCAACTTGAGATAAGTTTATCTCTGGCCACCCCAAAACCACGTCATTTTGTTTATTTATTTTCTTCTATTAATTGATTCATCTTTGAATGATTATGATTCCTTTTTTCTCTCTTCCTTTATCACCATTGATAAATCTTTGTACTATTATGATTTAGTAGCTGGAAATAAAATTATCTTAAGAAGCTTGAGAAACGATAAGCCATATATATTTTTGGAGTTACCCAACCCTAATTATCTCTTTGAGACGATATATATATATATATATATATATATATATATATATATATATATATATATATATATATATATATATATATGGAGATGTTATACTTACCATTAATTTTCTTAACACCTATACTACTAACTTTATTATTATTAGATTAAAATCAAATAAACGGCTCTCATTTGATGTTATTTTACGATCATTAATTATTTTGATCCAACGATAACAAAGTTGGTAGGTATTAAGAGGTTATAAGAAAAAATGCTAGTAACTATGACCTATCCTATATATATATATATATATATATATATATATATATATATATATATATATATATATATGATGACTAGAAATATAATTGTAAAAATACTTCATTTGTTTGGTTTTGTTTATTATTTTCTATTCCGACAAGCTAGACAAACGTGGGTATGAAAATGGTTCATTCTTCCCTCAAACCAAACGGACTTGGCGTCAACAAACGAATACTTGGATATTGATTCTCCAAATCTCTTAGCGCAATAACGTCAACAACATTATCAAACTTTAGACGAATTTATGTTCCGACGTACCAATTACTATTTGTTAAGATCAAAGACAATGTTATTTAATAATTATCGGCGCACAACCATTGTTGTCAAAAACTAGTGTAAAAATTTACGTTTTTACGTTTTTACTAGAGTGGAGCGTGTTAAAACACAAGTAAAAATTATACTTCATATAAACTGGTAAAAATGCCGTCTAAAAATGTAAAAACAGTAAAAACATTACGAAGGTGATATCTGGGCGGGTTATGGTGGCATATTGGAGAGCTCCTACTATGGAGCGATACTGTGTGGGGTCAGGATGTGTGGATCCATCAGTGGAGGCGAGTTTCGTGCTGGAGGCCATGGGAGAAGGAACAGGTTTGCAGTTATCCATTTTTGCTTTCTATATAAGATCTTGTATATAATTGGTTTGATGAAGATGGTATCAACCTGTAGTGGTTTTAGTTGCCTCAATTCCCAGGAAGTAGAGTATTTGACCGAGGTCTTTGAGGGCAAATTTGGTATGAAGAGACTGAATGATGTTTGTAATCACTGTTGAGGATGAACCTGTTATGAGGATATCATCGACATAAACTAGGATGAAGGTGGTACTGGTTTGAGTGATAGATAAGAATAGTGAAGAGTCACATTTGGCAGTAGTGAAGCCAAAAGTGTGTAGGGTGTTACTGAGTTTCTGGAACCAGGCTCTTGGTGTCTGTTTGAGCCCATAGAGGGCCTTTGTTAGGTGATACACCAGGGTTTTGTCTGTTTGGACAAATCCTGGTGGTTGTTGCATGAAGACTTCTTCGTGTAAATCACCGTTTAGAAAGGCGTTGTTGACATCTAGTTGGTGTATGGGCCATCCTTTGGAGAGGGCAACAGAGATGATGATCCGAATGGTGACTGGTTTTACTACAGGATTGAAGGTTTCCTGATAGTCAAAACCCTCTTGTTGGTGAAAACCCTTGGCTACTAATCTAGCCTTATATTTAAGAATCGAACCATCTGGATTGTATTTAGTGCGGAAAATCCATTTGCAACCAATTGGAGTTCTGTCTGGTGGTAGGGGAACAAGTTTCCATGTGTTATAGTGGAGAAGAGCATTGTATTCATCTGTCATAGCTTGGAGCCAATGAGGTTGGGTCATGGCTTGTGTGGCAGTGGTGGGTTCAAGGTTGGTTGTGTAGGGTTTATGTTTGAAAATCCCTGCTTTGGCTCTTGTGATCATGGGATGAGCTGAAATAGTGGTGGGATCAGAATGTGTGGGAGATGTGTTGGGGGATCTGTGTTGGGCTGTGTTTGGTGTAATAGGAAGGGAGGTAAGAGGGGTTGCAATAATAGGTTGAGTGGTATTAATAGGAATGGTGGGTATAGTAGGGGTAGATGATTGAGTAGGTGGGTGAGTTAAGATGGGTGTGGTGTTTTTGCTGTAGGGAAAGTCAACTTCATCAAAGAGGACATGTCTGGCTATGATGAGTTGGTTATTGGGGCTGAGGCATTTGTAGCCTTTATGTTTGGTGCTGTAGCCAATGAAAGTACATTTGGTGGATCTGAATTCAATTTTGTTTTTATTGTAAGGTCATAGGTAAGGGTAGCAGGCACATCCAAAGGTTTTGAGAAAATGGTAGTCAGGTGATTTGTGA